GTCTCTGTCTCCCTGACATCACTTTTCTCTGTGACAACACTCATCTCCGTCTCCCTGACAACACTTTTCTCCATCTCTCTAACATCACCTGTTTCTGTCTGTTTGACACTGCTTTCCTCAATTTCAGCAACTCCTTTTTCCGTGTTTTCAGTCTGTTCTTTTCCCGCTGCTGTTTCTTCTGTTTGGATATTTTTGATTTCTTGAATCTTGTCAGGTGTCTGTGAAATTTCCTTCTGTTCAGTTTGTCCCTCTTTTTGTCCCTCTGAAACTACATCCTCCTCCTCTTTGACTCCTTGTACCTTCTTAAAGTCAAACTCATTCCAGCTTTTCCAGTCCTCCCTTCCACCCATTGAAAGATGCCTCACTACTTTGTTACTGCCTTCAGAGTCAACTGTGTTCCCTTTTCCCACTTTCCTCCACTTCTTGTGAAGGAGGGAAGGAGACAGTGAGAGAGAGGAGGCTGAGCGAGTTAGTGGGACAGAGAGGTTCCCTTTCTGTCTCTCTTTCCTCTCCTTCTCAATTTCATGCTGCCGAGCTCTAGCCCACGCCTTCTGGTATCCATGGCAGCGACCTCTGGGGTCAAACGTGGACGATGGTTTTTCTTTCCTCCACTTTTCCAGCTCCTTCTCCGTCTGCTTTTCCAAATCTTTACCCGACAGGGGCACAGAGCACACCTGAAACAAGAAGGGAAACTCTGCAGATAGTTTGTACCCCAACAACACAGTGTGTCCCGCCACAATACAAAACCTGTTAAAGATCCCTGAGAAACACCGCAAAGAGCCTTGAACAGTTACCCCTAACCTCCAAATTCCTTAGATCATAATCCAATTGAGCAATTTTGACACACTAATTCCAAGCACCACAGGACACCTCCAGAGCTCCCACGTTCATGCCACAGTGGATCAGACATGTTTGTGGCTGAGCTGTTTTAGTAACTTACCAAGATTTATATCTACGTTATTTGATAGAATAGTGCCATTTTGTAAAAAAAATTTAATAAAACAAAGTTAATGATAGAAACATGTTTTAAATTTACTCTTCAGGGTTTTTATTTTATTTTATTTGCCTCATCTCTTTGGTTTGCAGCCATCTTTTTGAAAGGTTTTTGCTTTTGAGGTGTATCTTTTTACACTATTTGTGGCCATGATTAGTTTAATTTACTTGCTCTGTTGCTTTACAAATGAAAGCTGTTATCTTGAGGTAATTGGCAGAGAACAAGATGCTTCTCTATAAGCCTATCAGGTTTAAAAATCGAAATCTTACCTCTGCTATGAATTCGTCATCTTCATCGTGGACCTCCTCCTTAACACCCCTCAACTTCTCCAGAGTCTCCATTTGGCCCTGACACTGCTTCCTCTGCTCAGCTCGACCCAACACCCGGCGCACCAGCACCGCTGCAACCTGTAGCAGCACCCGGACCCCTACGAGGAAAGATGAGGGCGAAAGAGGAAGACCTGGTGAAAATGCTACATATCAGGTAGATGGTGGCAGTGACCAAAAATGTAAGAATTGTGCAGATATTTAAACACTTCTATATATAGTGGACAAAACCATCGCTTTTAATAAGCTGCTATTCCTGCCAGTCCTAAGGGGGTTGTGTTAGCCTGAGGTCAGCTCTACCATAGCAGAAGAAGAGGTCCCAGACTCGGAGAAGCGTGTTGAATGGAAGGTGACGTGTGAACAGACACATCAGCCAGTCGGTGGCAAACATGAGGGGCTCCACTCCGTGGTTCTGCAGATGTTTGTGTGCAGCTGGACACGTCTTTTTCAAAACCCAGGTCAGCATGGCCGCATCGAACAGTACTCCCTCCTACACAGCACACCACAGTAGGCTCAGACAGCTGCCCAGCTTTCAGGGTCAACACATGATTCATCTTTGTGTTTGGGTTATATTTATAGCACAACTTATCAAGAATCAGCCTTGAAATCAACATCTACTCGCCTACGTGTTGATTATATGTATTATAAAAGGTAAAAAATGTAAAAAACAAAAGATGTGCATGTCCTCACCAGCAGAGGGCTGTAATATCCGGGCAGGTATTGCTCACTGATCTGAACCAGACACCAGAAGGCCTCCTGCCAGGTTACATAAGGTGAACATTAGGCCAATAACTGCTCCGTATTATAGAAAATTAGCACTGTATTCTCAGGATTGCATTAATACTGTTATACCTCTGAAATAAAAAGCTTAACAGGTCGATGAAACAAGCAAGGTAGAGTCGGTGTCTTAAATGAAGGTTGTTGTTTCTCCACTGAAATCTAATTATTTTAATGTCTTTGCAGCTGATTTATCAGACCGAAGCTAAACTGTTAATGGCCTTTACCTGAGCAGGCATGTTCATCAGCAGCACTGCAGCCACCGGCCCCTGAGCCTGACAGTAACCCTCATCTGGCTGATACTGGGTGTAAGCTTTCAACACCCGGAACAAACCACGCTGCCTGCAGACACACACACACCACAATCATCTCTCACACAGCCAGAGGTTTCAGTCACCTTTGACAAGAGTTATACATTTAATAACGAAAAGAAAGAAAGACAAGTGACAAGACTGTTTGCTGTTCTGTTGAATAAGCCTTTAACTGTGAAAGCTAAACCAGGGAAACTATGAAAAGATTGGAAAGCCACGCTGAACACTAAATAAACTGTATGGTTATTCTGCAGCTCTCAGCTTCAGAAACAAATAGCAGAAACGTCGCCTACCCGTGTCCGTCTTTGGACTGGAACATCTCGTGGAAAGGGAACTGCCGGTCCAGATCTCTCTCAATCACATCCACCCAGCTCTGCAGAGCCGGCTGCTCATCCAGAGTCTGATGCAGAGACAAAAAACATAAAATGCATACCAAACAATAGATTTTTGAGTCTCTAAAATTCTAAGTAAGTTAGTCTGTTTTTCAACATTATAAATAATTTAACTTTTACTCAATAAAATATAAGAAAACAGTGATCACAAGATCTCACAACTTAGAACAGTATATATATAGATGATCAGGCATAGACTGTATATAAACAATGGACAATATAGCCTCCAGGTCTAACAGAAAGCAATGTAGAAATGCCTTAAACCTGCATTTTGTTTAATTGCCAGAAGGGGAAGACTCCTGGTGGGGAAAAAAAAAAAAGTCAGATTGCGTAGAAAAAATTAGAAAATGACCCTCTTGGTCATATTAAATTACTTCCTGATAGGTTTACGGCCTTAGTCGCTAATCTGAAGTGGTATTTAATGCAAAATACAATTATAGTCCCATTTATAGTTAAACGAATGATAAAGACGGCATGATTTAGGGAATGTGATGTTGCTGCTCTATAAGTATGTAGTTTCCTAAATTTCTCACTTAGATCCATCAATCACTCGTGAACAACATGTTGCCGGCCAAATAGTAAACCAGCACTTCAAAATCCAACGAGAGACAACATGGTGGCTATGTCCATCTTTTACATAAAGTCTTTGCAGCTGGACTCTTGCACTTTCTTAAACCATCCCAGTGAGAGTGTTTGTTTCTCTTGCCTCGTAGAGGTTTTCATGCTGTTTCATCCTGTTGGCAGCTCCGCACAGCAGAGGCCAGCACTTGGCTCTGAGCGAGGCAGGGATTCCTTTCTGACACTGCACTTTGACCTGATGAGAGACCCGGAAAACAAACTGTTACTGTGCTTTTTCCTGATGTGTCACAATGTCTGTCATGTATAAGGCCCATCGCCCATCATTTGGTGCCAGGGTTTATTTTCGGGCATCTTTGACGGGACGCACCTTACTGCTCTTCTTCGACAAGATGCGATCCCATTGGTCAATGATCTTTATCCACTTGGCCTCCCTCTGCCTGACCAGTTCAGGTGGCGGGCCCAAACTCCTGACACAGCACAGCACATGAATCACCAGGTAAGTATTTTGACACGTTTCACCTGTTTGCTGAACAATTTAAATTCTGGAGACCTTTGTAGTGCTGTGTCGCTGCACACTGTTTAGTGTGTTGTCATTACAGACACACAGTGCTCCGAAAACAAGACAGGAAACAGGAAAACCACACGTTAGCAGTGTGAAGTCTCTATGGCAACAGGTCAGGATGTTATCAATGAAGAAAGTAAAGATGACAGGTTGCAGTTTGTTCAGTTAGTTTTAATGCTTAGTTTACACCGCCTCGTGTGCAATCCCCTGCCAGGGCTATTATCAAACGCACAGTCTGCTGATTCTGAAAGTAAAATTGCACTTTATTTTTCAAGTACACACACCCACTTTCAGTTCAGTCATTATGTTTTTTGCAATATTTTTTTTTTGTGGATTATATGTAAAGAATATCAAGTGTAAACAATCTGTTTGTGCAGTTTCCGTCCTGAAGAAGGCCCACTGTGGTTGAAACTACTTGGCTTTTTCACTGATACGCTCAGCTAAATCATTCTAAAGCATCTCCTCCCCCTTTGCTCTGCTTATGAAACTGCCGTAAAGCCACGTTATTTGCAGGGGTCATCCTGATTTCGCATTCGTACACATTCTCCACTACACCAGTATAGCCTGAATGTTCCTTTCTTTCACTCTGTGTGACTTTTTCTCTCAATCTTAACATCTCTGCTCTAACAATTTGTCTTTTAACTCTTTATTAATGGCATTTAGTCCACCTGGCTGTGTGCGTGTGTGTGTGTGTGTGTGTGGGGGGTGCAAATGCTCCTCTGTCTCTTAAAATCGGCAGATTTAAACACTGCTTCAACACTTCCTGGTCTTGTCATGGAGGAAAATTACTTTGTGTGCTGCTTCAGGGGGTGTTGTGTGCCCACATTAGAAACTCTTAGCTCATCTGGAACCTTTGTCTTTGCTCATATAAAGACAAAGCAACAACCATTAAATTATCTGATAATATTTAGTTTCAAATTATATCTTCTGACAGCAGGTGCAAACCTTACTATTACCAAAGTCCCTGGGCTTTCTGATCTGTGTGATCTCGACAAGGTCGCCCTGCACGTCTTTTAGTCCCTTATAATAAATTTTTTTTTAAAAATCTCTTTAATGGGAGAATGAAAACTTAGATCCCCTGGTTTTGAACAGATCACCAACAGCACAGTAAGAGTACACAAGGCGCAAGGTGGATGTGCTCACCCAGCTGTGGAACCATTGGTTAAGATGAAGCCAAAGCGGTCTGTCTCCGGTTCAGATCCAGAGCTGTCCTCTTCACTGAGGTTCTTCTGGGCTGGACTCGAAGAATTCAACATCTTAGCTAAAGAAAAGAGGATGGGCTCGTCATCCAGTATGCAACCGATGAGGATGTGTGCGTCAGAGATGTTTAAAATCTCAAACATCCAAGATGGTAAACAGCTTAACTCCACTCTGCAAACGTCTCTGTTCACGTTTTCACCCTCTCTCTCTTATTTGACTCGGGATCTATGAAATCTGCATTTTCCAAGTTGAGAATGAGAGTAAAGAAGTGTACCAAGCCCCCCAGCCCCCGATTTTAAGTCATAAACATAACCACAGCTGTTAAAGCTTTTAAAATATACATTTAAATGTGACTACCTTTTACATTTCCGCCCTGTTTGATTAGTTGGCTGCTGAAGAGGTGAAGTGATCCTCCAGTGATGGAGGAGGAAGACAAACTTCCTCTCTCTCTCTCTCTTGCTTTCTCTCATATGCTCTCATTTGTTCACCACGCCTTCATTTCTCACCGTCACAAATGCAGTTTTCACATAAACTTCCGCGTCACAAACAATGACGATAAAATTATGGAGTGGTTTGGGGTTTTTTTGTTATTTTTTTGACTGTCATGAAAATGCCGTTAAACTGCTTAAATATGATTCATCAGTCATCACATATAAGTGATAATTGTGCAATTGGGGCTTTTCTGTCATTTATAGGACTTCCTAATTGCGGGTGGGAAACAAGAAGGCCTATGCGTACTTTAGGAAGCCAGGTAAATTAAATAACTTGTTACTTTCAATGGCAGGTAAAATAATGTTGCGATTTCCTAGGTGACGGTGAATACAACATCAACGTGGAGGCCTTGAATGCAGCATTAATAGCATTGCACAGTTTAGGGACTATTGCCTCCTTAGTGTTGATCATCATAAACTTGTGCCAGTGGTAAGTCTAAAAGAGATTTACATTAATAATGACGCAAATTAGCTAGCATTGAGAATAGGCTATGTTCATCTTATTGTCATGTTAGCTCCATTATACTAAATTACCGTAAATTAACTGGCTAACATGGTTGCAAAGTTGCTGACCGATGAGTTTACCTTTATGAGGAATGCTTAGCGCATTAAAACATTTTTCATCTGAACGGAAATATATAAAAACTAAATAAAGCTTAATTAAAGAAATTAGCTTGGCAGCATTAGTGTACCGGAGCCTAATTTTGCTAACTGTTATGCTATTTGAAAGGAGGCGTTCAGGTGAATCGTGTAGACTGTATGTTGGAACCAGCGGCTGGGTTAAAGACTTTATCCTGTCATTGGTCAGGACAGCTGGTCCTTCATGTGTCCGAAAAACACAGGTAGTTCAGATTAAACCTCTGTGGTGGATTGTTTTTTGATCGTATACGTATTTTTATACTAGCACCGATACAGTAAAGGCATCGACTGATTTCTCTCTGGTTTTACATGTTAAGAAATACTAAGGTCTTTATGTAATGTCCCTGCTTATAGGTTTTTCAGCTGATCGACTTTCCTGTGTATTTTACGATTTTACACGGCGAATACTGGTCAATAATCGAGGGATAATCCGAGAGTGCATTTCTTCCGATTCAAACAGCGTCCCGTGAACGTAGCAAATCGCTAACGTAATAGTTGGGATTTGGGGCGCCAGATTACAGGATGACTGGGATCAGCTGGCAGTCTGTCTCCCTTTTTTCACTCTTCTCTTGTTGTAGAGAAGCTTTTCTGGGTTAATACGACATTTATAAAGATATTTGCTGCAATATTGGCTCCACTGAGCGAACCCTTTACAGTCAGGTGAAAAGGGAGTGTTTTACGGGACTTTGCAGTAACCTGAAAATTATGTTCCTGATGCAAGAAAATGAGAAAAAGAGCGCCCAATTTAAAAAAAAAAAAAAAAAAAAAGTCCTACTAGCTTCATGAAAAGGGAGGTATTATTGAGGGAAAAGAATGGGATCTCCAAGAAACAGACAAAAAGAATCAGCAGATGCAAGTAAAGCCTGGTGAAGCTCTGGGGGGGGAAAAAGAAATCCTCCAAGAGAAGAAACAACAGGGCATAAAACAGAGAGAGATGCAATGCAAACTCCAAGACATGGAGATAAAATACAGAGTGCTGAAAGCAAGGTGTGATAAGAGACTGCACACAAATGTAGAGTTTCTTCAAGAGAAAAGGTTGAAGGAGATAAAACAGAAAGAAATGGATTGCAAGCTTCAGAACATTGAGAAACACAACAAAACAAGTAATGCTTGAAGTTCTGTAAAAAATAAGTATAAAAACAAGTGTAAAAAATATAGGTATAAAATAAGTATAAAAATAAGAAATGGGTAATAGCTGCATGTGTGCTTGTGTGTGTGTGCGTAATATGCATACTTTACTTGTTGGATCCAAATCCCAGAATACATTTGGCATAAATGACATAAATCTCCCCTTTGATCATTGATCAGTAAACCTCACTGCATATAAATTCTGAAGTCTGATATAATTTCATTAGTAAAGCTGCTCAGATGGTTAAATGTTGAACTTTGTTGCGATTGCTTTTCTCAGAATCACTAACCCCCGTTTTGATTTATTTTTTCAAGTTGCTGATTTCACACAGGTCCACTGCTGAAACCTTCTTTGAGTTTTTCATTCAACAACAATAGTCTCAGGCAATAACTATGTAATTACACTTAGTATGCGACAGTACATAAATGTACATAATGAAAATGTATACTCTTTAGCATATATTAACTCCTGGACGTAAAATAAAATATACAAAAGAAAAAACTCTGATTTTAAATCACATTTCAGATCACCACAGTAGGATATCCACAATGTAGGATTCAGACATTTGTTTTAGTTCAACATCACAATCATTCTATGAGTAGTTTATAGAGCCATTAGTTAACAGCAGTAACTTCAGCTGCTTCAATTCATTGGCATTTGCAAGCATTCCTTTATACACAGCATTTCAGTCAGGTTGAGGTCTGGACTTCCATGCTGTAGATTTGCTGCTGTGCTTGGGGTCATTATCCTGTTGCATGGCCTAATTTAGGAGAAGCTTTAGGTGTCGGACAGATGGCCTCACATTTCACTCTACAAAACTCTGACATACGGAGGAGTTAGGCACCTTGCAGGTGCCTATCTCTCGTGGCTACAAAACAAGCTCAAATCAGAAACCTTGCACCAGCATGATTGAACAGTTGGTTTGAAGTGTTTGTGCTGTGTTTGAGTTTTGCTGAAGGTAGTGCTGTGCAATATGGCCAAACCTCCACTTTGGTCTCATCTGTTAAAAAAACTGTGCTCCAGAAGTCTTCTTCAAGGGCAGCTTTACCAACTTCAACCATGTCGTCTTGTTCTTTTTAGAGAAGAAGCTTCCTCCTAGCGGCCACTACTAACAAGCCACAGTTGTTCAGTCTTTTTCTAATTATACTGTCATGAACTTTAACATTTAACATGCTATCTGAGGCCTGTAGAGGCTCAGATGCAGCTCTTGGGTATTGTGCAGTTGTGAATTTCTTTTTTCACGTTTACTCTGAGAATCTTCATTCTTCTAACTATTCTTTACTCTTTTAAAAGCTTTCTCTGCTCAGATGTCTGCAGCACTGAGTCTACGTCTTCTCCACTGCTACTCCAAACAAGGTACTAATGCAGGTGTCATTAACACAGTAATATTTAAGTGCACAAAATATTCAGATCACACGTGTATGTCTCTCCAGGTACATTTGGATATGGCTGCGGTGCAATTCGCCCGCTGAGTCTCAGTGTGCAGAGAGACGGCTACAGTGAGTACACACACCAAGAGCTGTACATATATATGAATCTCCAGTGCAGTGACCACATCAGCATGCCAAATTTGTATTTACTCTTCTACTCCTCTCTCCTTTTATTCTTCTGTCAGAGTATGTAAATGCTCAGGAGCTGCCAACAGACATGAGATCCATCACTGACCGGGCTGCCACAACCCTGCTTTGGACCGAGCTCTTTAGAGGTCTCGTTGATTGTGTTTTCTGTGCTGATAGCCTAGATTTGTAGCCTGTAATGCTCCATGTCACAAAGCTCAAATCATCTCAAACTGGTTTCTTGACTGCAACGATGTTCACTAAACCACCACCTAAATGACCTCCACAGTCACGAGATGTCAGTTTAACAGCAAATTTGGGATGTGATCCATCAGGAGATTCACAATGTGAATGTGCAGCTGACAAACCTGCAGCAACTGTGTGATGCTATCATGTCTATATGGACCAAAATCTGAGAGGAAAGGCTCCAGCACCTTGTTGAATCTATGTGAATAGAATTACAGCAATTCTGATGGCAGAAGGGGCTCCAACCCAGTTCTACCAAAGTGTATCTATATAAAGTGTCTGATTTGTTTATCTACTGTTATTAATCATGGCCAGAAATTAAGTTAATGAGGTCAGTATACATCCATCTTATTCATATGAGTCAAAAACTCAGGCTTCACACGCCTTTAAACAGTACATTCCTCAGTACAGGTGAGTAATTGACCTCTTTTCAACTAACTCAAATCTTGCAAATCAATGTGTGTCAGAGACAGTGGGCCCTTTAAGTTTTTTTTCATTTTTAATTATTATTTATTTATTTATTTTATTCTTTGCCTTCACGCAGGTTTGGCAATGACCATGAGTTATCTGTTCCGTGAACCTGCCACCATCAACTACCCGTTTGAGAAGGGTCCTCTGTCGCCCCGCTTTCGTGGGGAGCACGCCCTCCGCCGCTATCCTAACGGAGAGGAGCGCTGCATTGCCTGTAAGCTTTGTGAGGCTGTCTGCCCTGCTCAGGTAAACGCATACACACACAGTCCCTTTTATTATGATAGTTGTGTTTTGGTTTTTTTGACATGTTGAGGTTGTCTAAAGGATGTACTGAAGTACAAACAAAGCGTTATACGGAACAAGAAAAATGAATGACATCACTTTGACATGGCATAGCTGTTAGCCATGGATGATCAGGTTTGAGGGCTTTTAGAAACTGATGGTTTGGCAGCGGCAGTTCTCTGGGACTGATAAAAAGACATTGAATAACCGCTTTTTCAACCACGGTAAGAAAAGAAGAGCATTTCTGAAAACACAACATGTTGAAACCTTGAAGCAGACCAGTCACAGCAGCTGAAGGTTTCCAGCTGAGAACAGGAAACTGAGGCTAGAGTGGGCACAAGTGCAATAGTGTGGCAGATATTTTTGAACACATTTACCGCTCATTTAAACATCACCTTCTATCCGAGTATTGTTGACACAAATAACTTCCATAATCCCCAAATCTCACCAGAACTGCCTTGTGCTCTCATGTGGTTTCAAGTGCTTCTAAGCTTCTAAGCACCTTGTTGCATCTGCAGTCAGCCCTCATTGATTTCTATTTTGCTTCAGACCAGCAGGATTTTCTTGTAATTTAATAAAGAGCTCTTCAGCAATGGCTTTCTTAAGGTCTTTTAAAGTGTTTCTGTGTACATTGGCTGCTTTTTCCCTTATTTTCGATGCACTCTAGTCCTGTACCTAACCACTTTCTGAGGAATACTTTTTTTCTTAAGCCACTTAGCACTCATGAATGAATCATTCAAGACTAAAAAAAACACCTAAGGATGAGCCGTTGCTGTGCCTACAGCTTACACATAACAATTTAGCAAAGAATCCATTTTAAATTGTGTCATAAGACACTTTTTATATCCGGGAAAGATCTGAGACAGGACCTAAGAAATGCATCTTGCTCTACACGCTATCCATCTACTGTTCACCAAAACCTGACCAAAAATGGGCTCAGTGGTAGGGTGTCTGTCAAGAAACATTTTTGAAACCAGATTATTGTTTTGGAGCTACCAGTGGATCATGAATTGCTAATCATTCAGGATGTTTTGGTTCTATGAATACATGTATATCTCAAAAGAAAGAACAAAAACTTAAAGTTTAAACTATTGCTTGATGGGAAAACATAGACTGCTGGAACATTTCATTATTAGCAGGGATAGTGTTAAGGAATGCAAACAAAGAAAAGAGGCTGAGGTATGCCAAGTTAATCGGGAGCTGGGACTGAAAATCAGGGGCAAAAGGTTTGATGGAGTGATGGCTCCATATTTAGTCTAAATTGTCATCATGACATGCAGAGGAGGTCGGAAGAGAGCTACAGCAGTGAGTGTCTACACACGGTGAAGGCTCTGTCATGGTTTGGGGCTGCCTTTAAGCCAAAGGTGTTGGAGATCTGGTCAAAATGGATGTAATTATGAACCCAGAAAAGTATAATCAGATTTTGATCTGATTGGCTTCATTTTTCAGCATGGTAATTATCCCAAGGACGCTGCCATTCAGTAGAAGCATACCTAGATAGTGTTCCACTCTGCACGTTTCTGTCAGTCATGGATCGGCCTCCCCAGAGCCTGAACCTCGACATTATTGAAGCAGCGTGGGATCATCTAGATAGAGAACGGAACAAAAGCCAACCAACATCCAAAGAAAAGCTTAATGGCTCTGAAGACGCCTGAAGAACTATTCCTGACAACTGCTTAAAGAAATTATATGAACACTGCCTAAGAGAGTTCAGGCTGTGCTGAAGAATAAATGTGGTCATACTAAAATTGTATAAAATTCTCTACCCAATGTGGTGTTGCACATATTTAAAAAAAATCACTGTACATATTTCACATTTTCCAGAAGAAAACATGGGTGAGAGTGAGACAGTTCTGAAGGTAAACGGGGGTGTAATGTCTCTTCACTCAGCAGCTGTTTTGAAATGCCTCAATTTGGGCACTTATGCTAAAACATTATCTAGATTATGTATTATTTATTTGTTTGTTTGTAGTCAGTTCTCAAAATGTCTGTAAAATGAATGTTGCTGATATTTGAATGCTTCCTACTGTTGCGCCAATAAACATGATGCTTCCCTTCCCTTTCTCTATTGATCTCAGGCTATCACTATTGAAGCTGAGACTCGAGCCGATGGCAGCAGGCGGACCACACGCTATGACATCGACATGACCAAGTGCATCTACTGCGGCTTCTGCCAGGAAGCCTGTCCTGTTGATGCCATTGTTGAGGTAAAAACAAGTGTCCTCCAAGTTTGATGAAGCTGAACAAGCAAATGATAATGTGGGGATCTTTCACTGTCTTTACTCTAGTTCAGTACAATAAATTTACAACTGAAAAACTCCACTATTCTACCCAACCCTCCTTCAAAACAGACAGTTAATGTCTTTAAAAAAAAATTGAATTCCTTCTTCAGGGTCCGAACTTCGAGTTCTCCACAGAGACCCACGAGGAGCTGCTATACAACAAGGAGAAGCTACTCAACAACGGAGACCGATGGGAGGCTGAGATAGCAGCCAACATACAAGCAGACTATCTGTACAGATAGACTCACTGTGGGAAGGTCCTGTATGTCCTCCTGATATGCATTTAAAGAGATTACTGGCGGTTTTACAGTTATGCCAGCGGGTTCCGAGTGGTAAAGCCTCATACACTGAGGAAATTCTATAAAAAAGGCACAAATTGTATGCCTCTTGGGTGTAGTTGTACTTTTTTGATGTTGAGCTGTAGCACGTCAAAGCTTGCAATATAAGAGTATATTATTTGAAATGTTTGTTTTAAAGATATTGACAGACCTGTTGCAAATTTCACTAACCGAATTGAAATTAAAGGGGAAAAACCTTTTGAACTTGGGAGGTTTTTTTTTTTGGGTTTTTTTGTCTTTTATATTATATCCATACTTGACTCTTGTTGGACCAAATCCCTTATGTTAAGTGAGTTAATGACTGTGTTTTTAATGGTTTATTAGGCTATTGTTAGATGGTTGTAGCCTCCAGTGTAACTATTGCCGGCTGCAGTTGTGATGCAAATAAATTACTTTTAAATTTTTAGTCAATAGAAAAAAATATATATAATTAAATATGGTTATTCAGGGTTCACTGGATTATCTGCGTTTTCGAGTTGCTTAATAAATAAAAAACTGACCAACTGACTTTCAACTATGTCATTCTAGTTTTCGAAATTAAAACGCACTTGTGTTTTTGAAGCCAGCTGTGGTAAACAGATGGTAGTTATATTATTTTTGTAGTACACAAAGAAAGAAAATAACTTTTCATTCACTGACTTTTGTCTGGTAAGTGTACCAACATTACTTGGTCTGACCTACGAAGCTTTGGCTAACACTAAACATTTTGGGTATTGGGCTCTTTTGTCTGCCGCATGTGCATCCAAAAGTTGTTCAATGAAACGAGGACGTTGCTGCTATCCTGTGGGGGGTTTTTTGTTTTGTTTTTTAACAAATTACCTCAGAAATAAACAGCTCGTAACCATACCCAGCTGCCCAGCCTCAGCTGCTTGTCTGTAGTGGGAAATTGTGCTTTTCTAGCTACATGTGAATGTCTTTTAGGGTTGGATAAGTGTGTTTAAATAAAGACTGAATGCTGAATCACGTTCAGTTAGGACCGTGTTGCTTCTTGATGCGTTTTTGCCGCTGCAAGGGTCACATGATAAGGGCGGAAACTGACTCATAGTCCACGCTGAATCTCCCGCGAACGCAGCCATTTACTCTTTCCTCTCTTCGAAGTGTTACCGGTGAGTCTCTGAATTCTTCTCACAATGCGGGCTATCATATATTTCAAGTTTACATTCGTTGGGATAAAAAGTCAGTTAAAACAATGGGCAACTTTAACTTTGCGATTTTGTAGCTGTATCCACGTGAGGAATGGGGCAGCTGGGGAAGGCCGGTGGTTTTTCTTATGCGGCTAACTAGCTGTTAGCTCGATGAAAAGAATGGCTTCCATGCTGTGCTAGCTAACGGGTTAGCATGCACGGCTAACCCTCATTTTTCCTGCTTTGTTCTTGGGACTCGCGCGTATTCCTGTAAATACATATTCAGTATTTTTGGCAAAATATATTGTGGATGCGTGGAGTTGCATTTATGTGTAGAGAATTATTTAGGCTGGGTTTGACTTGGAGTGTAGCGTGGAACACATTAGATGGGCTTCCAGTCGGATTGTTTCAGTCGAACAAGAAAAAGTGCGCTCGCCCGTCGTGTGGCGCACTCACTCTAACGTTTTTAGCTTTCCTAGCTAGCAGCCGTTGGTATTGAAATACGCATTTAGAAGCGCGCTTTCGAATTTTCGATTGAACGCAAATACACATTGGACACACAACATGAATTAAACCTTTTTCCACAACATAGCTGCACCGTTACACGTTTACTCGTTACGTGTGCGTGAACGTTAGCTTGGATGGAAAATGCTAGAAGTTATGGCTATGTAACAAGCTATGGAGTTTAGCTAAACGATCAAATCGTAGAAAACTGCTCAAAGGACCAAAATAACATCTCAACAAATCATAGCTTATGTCATATTTTGTCTTCTTGAAATGCCATTTAAAGTAGTTGCTAGCACTGCTAGTTAGTGTTGACGGACAACGTGCTAATCAACCATCCCGCCTCGTTTTGTTTAACAGAAAAGTCGCAACCACGGCGGACTCAATGGCACAGTGTGTTCCGGTGGCGGTGTTTAAGGTAAGTGCTTGCTATCTAACATAAATTGATGTTCCATTTCTCAGCCTTTTAACTAAATGAAGCACCGCTATCTGTGCTGATAACGGTCAGTGTGGTGAACCAGTACCAACCAGTCTAGACTAACTGTACGTTCTGCATCGCAGTTGGTGTTGGTAGGAGATGGAGGCACCGGGAAAACGACTTTCGTGAAGAGGCATATCACAGGAGAGTTTGAGAAGAAATATGTTGGTAAGTACTCGCTTGCCAGGAAGGAAATCAGCTCATTCTTTTAGTCTGGATGTGGTAATAGATTTGAAAGCAGGATGTAAGAAGCCAAATGTGTTAAATGGAACTACAGGGAGCAACATGTCCTGCATGGCCTTTATCTCATCACCATTTACACCTTCATTCTCCTTATTCATTATGTCTTTGCTTGAAATTTCAGCTACTCTTGGAGTAGAGGTGCACCCACTGATTTTCCACACCAACAGAGGAGCGATCAAGTATAATGTGTGGGACACAGCTGGTCAGGAGAAGTTTGGAGGCCTGAGAGATGGCTACTACATTCAAGGTGCTCCTTGTATCCTTCGCATGCTGCTCAAGTGTCACATTTTTAAAATTCATGTACCTTGGCTTTAGCTGAACAATACATTAATGCTTTCTTGCTTCCTCAACAGCTCAGTGTGCTATCATCATGTTCGACGTCACTTCTCGAGTCACCTATAAGAACGTGCCCAACTGGCATCGTGACCTGGTCCGTGTCTGTGAGAACATTCCCATTGTTCTTTGTGGCAACAAGGTGGACATCAAAGACAGGAAAGTCAAAGCCAAGAGCATTGTGTTTCACCGCAAGAAGAACCTGCAGGTAATAACTGCTTGCAAAAATGTGTATTTTTGAATTGTAGAATAGACTTTTGAGTTTTGTCATTTCTAACTGCTGCAAATTGTTCTACCCGCAGTACTACGACATTTCTGCCAAAAGTAACTACAACTTTGAGAAGCCTTTCCTGTGGTTAGCAAGGAAGTTGATCGGTGATCCCAACCTGGAGTTTGTGGCAATGCCTGCCCTTGCTCCCCCAGAGGTCCAGATGGACCCATCCCTTGCTGCTAAGTATGAGGAAGAGCTTCAAGTGAGTATCACTGTACAGACTCATTTGTCTGAATTGGATGAATATATTGTAAATTTTACTTGCGCATCTTCTAAATGTGGAACAATCTGAAACATGACTTTGTTCTTCCATATCCAGGTTGCATCACAAACAGCACTCCCAGATGAAGAAGATGACCTCTAACCTGTTACCTAGATTTGTCCCTCCCTCCTCCCCCACCTGTGGACAGGAAGTCGTTGGAGTTTTGCCCCCTTACTGTAAAATCCCTTTTCAGATTTTTTTATTTTTGAATTTTTTTTGTTTTAAAACTTAAGTAAAAAAAGAAAAAAACTTGGTGGAAAAGTTGTGGTTCTAATTTCACTGTATGACACACACCCACCCTAGTGTTGTTGTTGGCATGGCAACGTGCTACTCTTCATCGTTGAGCACCCTCCATTGCACTTACCCAGCTCACATAATGCTGTTGTACGGTGTACTGGAAGCACTAAGGGGAGTAAACTTTGAATAAAAACATTCTCGGTATAACACGGCCGTGTTTGTTGTGATTTGCCTGCACGCCAACGATTTCAGGTCACAGGGAGCGCCTCGTAGTTAAAAAGTGGCTCTAGCATATTCAAGCATCTTGGTGAGGATTATTTGATGCACAATACAGGTTCCTGAAACTCAGATGGCTACAAGAAACTAATAGAATTCAGCATTTACTTTTGTGCTCTCCTGCAGTCACCAGTAAATGTTTCATATGGAATAAGTCTCATGCCATAGCTTAGTCTGCAACATTGCCCACAGTAGGTCAAATACAACTAGATAATGCTATACTGACATTTGTCCAAACTTACTAATTACTACTGTTGGAATCAAGTGGATACATGGAAACCTGAAGTAGACAATGATAGCCTGTGTCTTGGTGAGCCTTTACAAAGTGTGGTAATAATGAATGCTTTGCTTTCAGGTACAGCTAAAGGAGATATACAAACCATTTAATCTTAAGAGTGTGCCATTAAATTGACAAAGCATGCAGACTGTAGGGCATTATGGGGGGGGACTGCTCCTTCAAAGCTTTGAAAGGCACCAAATACTTAAAATATTTGTGTCAGATAACATTGTTTCCAGTTAGATGAATCTTGAGTTTAAGAATGCAAAAGCTGTCTATTGACTGTGTTTCATTGGCTTCAGATTTCACTTTAAAATATAACTGATTATAAAGTTTGATATAGCCAAAAAGATCTAAGGCATGGGCATGAATGTCATGGCAATTTGGGGTTTTAATGACTTCTTTGACCAGTCCTTTTTTTGGGATAGAGTGAATGTACAGCATACATCTTTAATGACTTAACAAAACAAGAATTGGGTGCATGAGTGAGAATTTATTTTGAATTTACTGCAATCCATACAGGGTCAAATGCATACACATATATTGCCATTAATATTTTGGTTAAATGTTCCTTAGCAAGTTGCCTTTTGAACAGATGATGTGAAATCATCCCAACCTGGAAAAAGAGCAGGTCAAAGAAATCAAGAGTAGATTTCTGAATCAGTACTCTTATAGATAAGCTTCTCAATAATTAGTTCCTTATTTTTGCCCTAGTTTACACCATGTTTGCATGGAAGTATGTTCAACAGTGCTGTGAAAAAGTATTTGCCCTTCCCAGTTTCTTAGTATTTTAGCATATATGTCACACATGTTTTAGATTATCTAACAAACTTTAGTATTAGACAAAGATAGCCCATGTAAATACAAAATGCAGCTTTTAATCGTTGATTTCATTTCAGAGAAAATGTTATCCAATCACACAGGATCCTGTGTGAAAAAGCAGCACCCCTAAACCTAATAACTGGTTGTGCCAATCTCAGGAGCAAGAACTGCAATCAAGTGTTTGTGATAACTGATAATGAGGCTTTCACATCGCTGTGGAGGAGTTATGGTCCACTCTTTGCACAATGGTTTTATTTCAGCCACACTGGAGTGTTTTAAAGCCTGAAAGGCCTGTTTAAAGTCACGCCAAAGCATCTCAGTGAGTTTTAAATCCAGAGTTTGCTTCAGCTGCACCATAATCATCTACTTGTTTTTTTTAAGCCATTCTGAGGTGGACTTGGTCTGTTTCTGCTGCTTAAATCAAGTGCACTTGAGCTTCAGAGCATAAACTGATGGCCGAAGATTTTCTTTCAGGATTTTTTGATAGGAAGCAGAATTCATGGTTCCATCAGTTACTGCAAGTCATCCAGGTGCTGAAGCAGCAAAGCAGCCACAGACCATCAAACTACCACCACCATTTTTACTCTTGATGTGATTTTATGAAATGCTGTGTTAGTTTTACAGCAGATGTAATAAGATGCAAAAAGTTCAGCTTTTGTCTCATCGGTCCACAGAATATTTTCCATAAAGTCTTGAGGATCGTCAAGATGTCTTTGACAAATCTGAGACAGCACTTTGTGCTCTTTTTGGTCAGCAGGGGCTTTCTCATTGGAGCTCTAAATGTAAGAGTGTATGCTTAACAGAGTATGTACACTTTAAATTGTCATTTTACTGAAACTGAAGCACTTAAAAAAGTGCTATAGATTATTAAATTATTCATGCATAAGTTCCAGAAAAAGGCATCTGCCAATCCTCCTTATCTGCAGAATAAAGACGAATAACATGAATACACAATTTCAAAATGTAATGACTACAAGGCACATGTCATAGCCTGTGGCTTCTTCCGCTGACATACTCATATCTATTTGAACAAAACGCTAAACCTTAATTTTTTCAAGTGGCACTACTGAGCATGTTTGTGCAGCGCAGTCTTCAAGTTTCCACATCGCAGCCTCCTATAATTTGCTATGATTGGCACTGGAGCTCATTTTAATGCTACCAGCCATGCTTGATGGGACATGTCTTCAACTCACAAGGTGAGTTCAGAGACAGCAGAACAAAAAATGAATCTTATAACATCACTCTGCCTCTGCACAGTGAGGCTCAGTGGAGTAGCCAAAAGAAATGTGTGAGTGGAATGAGACTGAACGCATTGTTACCATTTAAAGTCATAAAGTAGCTACCTGAGTCCCAGATCCTTCACTGGACGCACGTGTGCTTTTATGAAAACTCACACAAGATGATGCCAGTGATGGAGGGTTTCATCTTAAGCTCGTGGCCACTAGGTGTCACTCGTGCTTTTCCCTTTCCCCCCTGCTTTTTAAATTGAGAGCACGGTGAACGCGCCCTGTAGGGTTATGTAATAGATTTCTGATGCACCTTCACTGTGACGTGTGCCGGTTACTACACGGATCTGGGTGCAACATCATTCACCCTCCACGCAGCGCATGTTCTGATTCAGACTCGGGTCCCACTTTACGTTTCACAAATTAGTCGTTGTGTGTTGAAAGCGTAGTGAAGAAGAGAACCGCAAAATGAGGAAATAGACATCTATATCCAGTTCTCAACAGTTGGTTACAAGCTGTAATAAAACTCTTCTTTATCGGCTTAGCTGGGAGGAAATGATCACGATGCGTTAGGTGACGGTGGGAGAGAGGAGAGTGTGATTTTGATCCCTGACACCCAGCTGTAACATTAGGCCTACATTCATGTTTACTGCTGCTGGCTGCTGAACACACTGCACATGTGAAAATACGAGTACACGTATTGCACTAAAATATGGAGTCATCATAACAGGATAGAGATGCCTGAGCTTAGGAAGATATGTGTTTGCTCCTTTCCTCTGGTTGGCTGACTTAAAACCTCCGTAACCATGATCTGATTGATTTTTATTAACACACACACACACACACACACACACACACACACACACACACACACACACACACACACACAGCTGGTAGTTCGATCTCGCTTTTCATGCACCACCACCCCAATAACGCTGCTGTAATGCCGTCAACCCTTCGTGCTACATTTACTTTACGTTAAAACCTCGAGATTTGTCATTTCCAATAGGGAATATTATATTTCACAGTAAAGTGAACCAACCAATAAAATGTATGGTCTAAATAAGATAATTTACCTGAGAGATCATATTATGAGTCCCCCTTAATAATAAAAGCCTGTAAACAACCATGGGAGTTTTTTCTACATTCGATGGGATAAACAGTGTTTATGATTTAGTTTATAATTTATATTTTACTGTCCTGGGTCACTTGTGCAACTGGGAGTATCAAACACCGCAATTAAAAATAAATACATAAATAAGTATGCTTGATCACTTGCTTTAACATGAGCTTACTTTAAAATTAAATTGTCTTCAGCTCTCTCCAAGACTTTCTAAGGGGGGATAAAAAGTGATGTTTTATTTATAGTGCCCTCGATGGTTAAGGCAAAATATCCCAAAACGCAAATGAATCGAGGGCAGCAGTAAAGACTTTGCTGTAAAGAGTAAGGTGGTGAATTCTCCAGTAATGCTGCAGGCCACCATATCAGTCATGCTGTTTTCCTCTTCAAAACTCATTAACTCTCATAACTCTTTGAACTATGACCTTGAGGTGTAAACATACTGGCATGGCAATATGATCCATGTGCTGAAATAAAAAAAAGAAAAGACAGCAAAGATAGACCCGATTAATAGATGTAAACACGTTCTAATTAGTTTTAATTTAAGTTGAGTACTTTGCTCTTGACTGAAACTCTCTTAAACTATAGATTAATTGTGATGACTTTTGGTTCAGACATTCATGGTAGAAAGACGGTGAAGTTATGATCACTTATTGTAAAACATTGCCAGTGACTTCAGCAATACAGTGGTCTTCACATTTGTGGCACAACATTAGAACAACTTGTGCAATGACATTTGTGTCAGGTATTCATGTTTCCCTCTGGATCGATGATCTCGTTGCTGATCATTTGACTTTATTTCCTCCAGCAGTAGAAAAACAAACCCTTTGTCTCACAGAACAAAGATCATGGTTCGAACCCAGTCTGGGGCCTTTCTGTCTGGAGTTTGCATGTTCTGTCTAGGTACTCTAGGTTAACTGGTGATCCTAAAACTTGCTGTTGTCTGTCTCTCTGCATTACTTCTGCAGCTTCTCCAAGGTGTACAAGGAGTCCGGCCCTCCCACTGCTCTGGATTGGATAAGTGGAAGAAGAGGGATGGACTTTTACTTATTACTACATACCAGTGAAACTAATGACATCATGCTAATTAACCAATAATATCACAGAAAGCCCCAAAGTATAGTGGAAAATGGTATGTTAGAGTTGTTGCCTTAGTATGTTTCTGGGCATACTAACATACTATGACTTCCGTTATTACCTTCATACCTTTATACTGGTTCAACCAGGCAACTTGATATTTAACAGCATGTTGTTTAGCTGTTGTGAGACTCTGCGGATATTTATCTTCTGTGACTCCATATCTTTCTCTAAATTCCCTCATAAGACAAAAATAATCACATTTGATTCCTTATTATATATTTTTAAAAGAGTTTCCAACAAATCCGCAGGTTAGTTAGTTTATTATTCCTACAATACCTGAATGCATCACGAGTGCAGGTGGCTCAGGGCGTGGCTTCATCCTCGCGATCGGGGGACTTGTCTGCGCAT